ATTTTTGAGTGATAGACTTATTAGTAGTTGTGGTAGAGTTATTTTGTGATTGGTAGACTTATTGATGGTTCGCGCAATCGTAGACTTATTTATCCTAGTGGTAGAGTTATAATATGTGGTAGATTTATTTATTGTAGTGGTAGATTTATTTATAGTAGTAGTAGATTTATAATATGTGGTAGATATATTTATACTCGTGGTAATGGTAGATTTATAATATGTAGACTTATTTGTAGTAGTGGTAGATTTATAAATATGTAGTAGACTTATTTATAGTAGTGGTAGAGTTATTAAATAAAGAGTAAAATCGTAATTTACCGGCCATCTTCTCCACAACCAAGCTTTTGTCAAACCCTAACAATGGCAGCCAACTATTTTTTAGCTCGTTTTTACTGTATTTAAACTTGTTTTCAACTGGATTTAGTCTAAAACTAGTAGATCTAACATCATATATCTCTTTTCTAAACAAAATCAAAAGATTTCAAGTTTTTTTTTCTTGTAATTTTCAATCCGATTTTATATAAATCCGGCGGTACACCTCCGCCAAGCTTGTCTTCGGTGCTTCCGCAGCCTCCACGGCCGCGCTTTCAAACAAATTTCTGATTTTTTTTTTAATAATTAGAATGACATTTTCGTAATAAAAACTTGTTACTAAGGTTTATATGTCTTTTATGATTTTTGTTAAGTTTCAAACTTGTTAAAGAGTTGTTTTAGTAATTATGCCATTTTTCAAAATTGTTCTAGTAATTTTCCCAATATTTTATCCTATAAATTGGATGTCTTTTCAAATGTATAGTTCAACTGATTTGTAAATATTAATTTTTAATTTAAATAGTATATAAGGAGAAATAAGTGATTTGTAAATATATTTCACATTTATGAGTTGTTTTTTTTTATTACTTTTCTTACTTATGATCTTCGTTATCTTTTTAGTGACCAAATATGTTTGATTCATATCTAAAGTATACCACCGTGATTAAAAAAAAAAACACATTTGCTAAGCAAGCAATTTACTCTTTCTTACAATAAGTCACCAATGGCCATAACCATAAACTCCTCAAAGTTCAAGTAACCATCACCATCTGCATACGTGGCTTGAACCTTCTCGGCACAGCTCACCTCGGTGCACTCTTTTCCGATCTGAGTCATCAACACGTAGAACTCATCGGCCGGTATCTTACCGTCACCGTCAACGTCACAAATTTTAAAAACTTCCCTCAACAATGTCTCGAGGCATGAAGTAAACTCGTCGGCGTTAAGTGCACCGTCACCGTCTTCGTCAATCTCTTTGAAGATCTTTGCGATTTCTTCTTAAGACACGTTCGTAGAGAAAGCAAGAGCCACTTCACGAAACTCGTCCAATGAGAGTTTACCGTCTTTGTTCTTGTCGAACTTCTCGAAAACTTTTTTGGCAGACATTTCTCTTTGATTATATGTTTAATTTGCTATTGTTGTTGTTTATGAGAATTTGTGTGAAATGTGTTAACACTAAGTTCGTATATTTATAGGGTTTGAAAACACTAAAGTAAAACTTATAAACTTTGGTGGTCCAATTAATAATTAGTTAGAGATAAATGTTAAAGGAAACAAAAAACAAAAGTATTATAGATAGTTGTAAAGATATGTAGATTTGATCTTATAAACTGAATTGATTTCATATGCTTATTAATTATTAGTTCCTTGTATCTCACAATAATTCATATTGTACTCAAATGTACAATTTGACTAATTGGGCCACCTAGAAAAGTATTGTCCTATGCACTTTGACACATAATAATTAAAAAAAATTATAATTTCAGCAAGACAAGAAGAAAAAGTTTTATTTTAAGGAATATTTACCCAAAATTAGATACTTTGACACATGTTAAGCTCATAGTTTACCT